GGGGGCAGGACGAGCGGCCGAGCCCCTCCCGGAGCCCTACTCCACGGCCAGTGGGCAGCACCGAAGGGCCGCGGGCGGGGGCCCAGGAGCCTGGCCATGGGTGTACTCTCAGCAGCCGCCAGGCCACAGGCCACTCGGGCAGGGCGTTCCCTTGCCGAGAACCTCGTGGTGGTGTCGGCACGCCTCTCTCAACGCCCAGGACGACTTACGGAGGTGCCCTGGCACCTGGATGGGCCCCTGTGCTGTGAAACTACCCAGGAAGGGACCTGAGTCCACACAGATTCCTTTGACAGGAAAGTGCTGCCAGTGGCAGTCAGTCTGACGACAGGGGGTGGCAGCCACCAGGAATTCCACTCGCGCTGGCCAGCTCCTGCCAGGGGGCCCCTCCCCACCAGGCGCCACCAGGCTCCACTGACAGGTGGCAGACAGGCCGCAGCAGGGCAAGCTCCACCCAGGACCCCGAAGTCAGCGCCATCCAGGCAACTTGAAACTCAGCCTCCAGGCCTCCCTGCAGTGCTCGGCTTGGAATTCCGCAGACCGCCGGACGGCCAGCGTGGGCAGCGCTGTGTGTCTGCCTCCGCCCTGAGGACAGCACGTGGGGGCTGGGGGCTGGGATCCTCCCTGAGAGCCGACGCCTCGGGGCTGATTCCAGGAGGCCTCCGACAACCCCCAGGGAGGACCAGGCCAGGCTGCTGGAGGCTCTTGACAGGAGGAAAGAGGTGGGGTCCCTGGAGGCCCACGGGGGCACCCCGGGCAGTCTCAGGCGGCTCATTTCCTGCAGGACAGACACGGATCGAGGGCTGAGCACCAGCACGTGAGGCCGCGCTGCTGACGTGGCAGGATGCGCCCACCCGGCCCTCACCGGCTGCCGCAGAGGAAGAGCAGGTTCTGCACGGCGGGGACCGTGGAGCTGGCATTCTGGCCTGTGACCAGGTGGCGGTCCAGCACGATGTGTACGGCGTCAGGCTCGCTGGCTGGAAGCACGGAGGCCGGCCTCAGGCAGTGCCCTGGGTTCCCACCCCCCCAGGGGCCGAGCTCCAGTGAGCTGCCACAGGGGTGGGCCAGCCTTTCCGGCCCAGCCAGCTCCTCCCCAGCGGCAGCAGGCAGCCCACCCGGCTCACCGCTGAAGCTGGCGCCCGCGTCCTTCACGAAGTCCTCCACCACGAGCGGCAGGCCAGCGAAGCCAGGGGCCCTGACGAGCTCATACACGGAAGGCTGCAGGGCAGAGGGGGACGGGGTCCCTGAGCCAGGCCCAGCCCTGCCCCTGCCAGGAGAGCTGGGTGTGCCAGTGCTCACGACGGGACGGGACGGGGCTGCTGGGGCAGGAGGCCGGGGTGGAGGCCGGGCAAAGGCCGGGACATGTGTAGCCGCCATCCTCCACGGGAACAACAAGGCTGCCACAGGTGGACAGCTGGATCCCCAAGCAGAGAGGCACACGGGACCAGAACGGCAGGGCTGGGGGCCTTGGCTGGGCCAAGGACGGGCACAACACCGCAGTGTGCAGCAAGTCTAACCACAGATTTGCACCAGGGATCGGATCAGGGTCACTCGGACCAAGACTGGGCTGTGGCTCCCCTCAGCAGAGGGACCAGGTCTGCTGCATTTCCAGGGAGAGCCAGCATCCCCGTGGCAGCCCATTTCCCTGCCTCAGGGCCTTTGCCCTGGCTGTCCCCAGAGCCCCCTTCACTGCCTTCAGGCCTCAGCGCTAGCAGGCCCTGTGTCTCCGAGGACACGCCCCACCAGGCTCTGGCACCGCCTGACACAGCGTTCCAGATCAGCCCACCTCCCTCCCCACGTCCACCGAGGGCTCGCCAGCCCCATCCCCAGCTCTCATGGATGAGGGTGGGTGGGCAGCCCAGAGGACTGCCAGCCTCGGGTTCTTGGAACCCCCAACGTGCCAGGCTGGCCAACGGCTGTCACCCGACCCAGAGGTCCCCTGGCCTGTGCCCCTGCTGTCAACAGCCTCAGGCCTGGTTGCCCCGAGCCAGGGTACGAGTGTTCTCAACTCAAGAGAAAGAACCGCCCCAGTCATATGGGAACAGCGGGGAATCTCTTCAGGGGCTGGCCCGGACCCCAGCCTCTGTCCTCAGGGTACTCACCCCTGTCAGGCTGTAGCCACGGAACACCCAGGATCTGTCCTCGTTGGTGGCACAGCACAGGGCGGCGACCCCATGGCCGATGGCACAGATTGGCTCTGAAAGAAGCGTGCACGGTGGGCCTGGGGCCCCAGACACCCACCACCGGTGCCACGGGGCCCCTGCTGAGCCCAGGCCTGGGGGTCCCCGCAGACCCCTGCTGCCTGCCCAGCCCACCCTCCCCGGGAACATCCCGCGCTGGGTGTCAGGACCAGGCTCCGGGTGCGAGCCCCAGGTTCTGGGGGCCGAGAAACTCGCACCAGGAGAGTCACCAGGTTCCAGGTCTCTGCCCAACTCCAGGACGCTGCACGGCCGCTACGGGCGCCCCAGGCCTGCCCACCACACAGCCACCACACGGCACAGGCCGTGGGAAAGCCCCTCCCACTGCAGAGAGGGAGCCCCTGTGCGACGGGGAGGTGCCCGGGGCAGTGCCAGGCCCTGCGGTGGTGCCACCCTGGCTCCATCCCAAAGGCTGAGCATGTTCCCACAGCGGCGGTGGCCAGGAACAATCGCTGCCTGTCCGGGCCGTGCAGGGGACAGAGGCCCACTCCCGCCAACAAAGGGCGCTGTGTCAAGCCCCGGCCGGCAGACATGCTCCTCACAGCCCGACCCTGAGGCGGGGTGACTGCCGGTCCCCTCAGAAGACCTTCCCGGCACCCTGGTGGCCTCCAACTCCAGTCCCAAGCCTGGACACCACATACCCCACCAGGAAGCAGGCCAACATCCTGCCTCACCCCCAGAGACGTGGCCGCCCGTCTCCTGGAGCTGGCAGAGGTCCCCCGGATGAAAGGAGACCAGGTCTGGAGGGCCACTGGCTCGTGTGGGTGGGTGGCGGGTCAAATCCATCCATTCGCAGGGCAGCATCACAGAGGGGCTCCACACCCGCGCGCCTGGCTCGGAAGGGACTCAGCGCTTCCCGCCCAGAATCTGAACCCTGCACCCTCGGGGCCACTGCCTCCCACCCACAGACACCGCAGCGGCCTGAGCCGACGCCCGCGGAGCCCCGCTGGGGTCTTCCTGGCCTCCCACCATTTCTCATGCACCTGGCATGGCCCAGCCCCCAAGGTCCAAGGTCACCTACTGCTCTCAGAGTGGAAGTGCTGCAGGACACGGGCCAGGGACCCGCTGCTGGCCAGGTCAGACAGGGCCCCAGGACAGCTGGGGATCAGGAGGGCGTGGTAGCGGGCACCTGGGGAGATTGAGGCCGGGCAGCCCCACGTCAGACCCAGCAAGGCCCCGGCTGGGGCAGGCCCTCCAGGGGCCAGCGGCCAGATGACGTCACTGGCTGTCACCTTCCTTCATCTGCCACAGCTGCCAAGGGCCGTGCCCGATCCCGCAGCCCAGCCTGCCTTCCCGGCTGCCCCATGCCCAGTCTTTCCCTAGGGAGTCGGGGACATGCAGCAGGGCAGAGCTAGGGCACTCGCTGGGCCCCAAACCTGCCAGAGCCCGGCCCGCCTCAGTCCCAGCACCCCCCCAGGGGCGGAGGAGGGCCCACCCCGCAGGGAGGGGGAGCCAGGCCCACCGTCGATGGACTCGAGCTTGGCCGGGCTGGCGTAGGCCTTGAGGCGGAAGTCCTGCACCCAGCGTGCGTTGCCCTCGGTCACCCCCACGAAGTCGATGGCCTTTCCCTGGAACAGCAAGGCCAGGGACCGAGAGTCAGCTCCAGGGACGCCCCCGCTGTCAGCTCGGAGGGAGCCTGAGACGCCAACAAGGGGCTGGGACCGACGCTAACCCCTCGGGGCGCAAAGGCACCCAGCCTCCTTCATGGGGACACGCAGTGGGGGCTCCCCTGGCCACTGAGCCACAGGAAGAGCCTGTCCCAGCAGCAGCCTCGCAGTGGGGGGGTGAAAGGGCCACAGCCAAGGAAGGATCAGGGAAGTGGCAGCCACGTCCCACCCAGCCCAGAGGTGACTCAGAAACGTGCAGGGACATGCACCTGGCGTGCCTTTTCTGTGGCCTCTCTACGCCCCACACCCCTGGGTCCCACGGGGTCAGAAGCTGAGAACGCCTCCCGGGGGAAACCCCTGCGTGAGTCCCTCCCACCTGGCAAGCCTCACCTCAGCTCACCCACAGAAGTGCAGATGCGCCCAGAGTCTCCCTCGCCACAGGAGGGGTCGGAGCCCAGAAACTGGGATGCCACCCGTGGTGGGGCTCCCACTCCTCGCAGGGAGTGACGGTGCTCTCTTGGCCCTGCCCTGGAGAGGGGGAGACCCCAAGCAGGGGAGGGAGCAGTGGCCGGACTTACCCCAGGCGTGGCCACCTGCAGGTTGAAGGCGGCACTGGCCATCGTGAAACACTGGAGGAAGGACTGCGCCAACACACCTGCAGAGGGGTCCCGGTGGGTGTGGGCACCACAGCGCCAGCCCGGCCCCGAAACCCTGGGGCAGGCACACCCAGGAGCAGAAGCTCAGAGGGCATGGGCCAGAGGGCAGCCAGGGCTGAGCGCTGCGGGCCCCAGCCCACTGGCCAACCAGGGGCCCGGCACCCTCCAGGGCGGGCCCTCTGCCCAGCCTGGCACCGCCGCCTTCCAGACCCCAGCGGAACTGGGGACCGGACCCAGTGCGCCTCCACTGCACGCCACCCCCGCACCTCTGGCCTCAACCAGGGCTGTGAGAGGCCTCCTTGGAAGACAATCTGAGCGTGAGGCCCACCTGCACTGAGCTGCCAGGGACCGAGACCCGAGGCACCACGGGGAGTGCAGGCTGTCCTCGGCCCCTCCCTCACCGGGGACCTGGTCCTGCCGCCAAGCTGTTCCCAGACCCCGTCTGCCCATCGAGGAGCTGTGCGAAGAATCACAGCAGCACACCAGTCCAGAAGGCTCTGGGGCGGTGGTCCCACCAAGGCACGGGCACAGCCCCGCCCCACTCGACTGCCAGGCAGCACCCAACACGAGAGTATTTTCTTTTTCTTTCTTTGAGAGACAGGGCCTCTCGCCCTGTCGCCCAGGCTGGAGCGCAGTGGCACACTCATGGCCACCCAGCATCGAACTGGCTCGAGCAATCCTCCGGCTTCAGCCTTCCTGGTAGCTGGGACTACAGGCAAGCGTCACCACACCATCAATTTTTAAATTTTTTGGAGAGATGGTGTTATAGGCGTGCGCCACCATGCCCAGCCCACAAGTGTCTTTCTAAGGAAGTGTGAGCCACATCTCCCTGCTTATTTTAATCCCGGACCCAATCCCGAAATCCTATTTTCACCTTCATTCATTCTTTTTTTTCTCTTTCAGTTGGAGTCTCACTCTATCGCCCAGGCTGGAGTGCAGTGGCACACTCACAGTCACTCCAGCATCGAACTGCTGGGCTCAGGCGATCCTTCCACCTCAGCCTTCCAAGGGTCTCACCAAGTTGTCCAGGCTGGTCTTGAACCCCTGGACTCAGGTAATCCTCTCGCCTCAGCCTCCCAAAGTGCTGGGATTACAG